TTGAAGCATATTATTGCACTTTTCTCTCTAGCTCTCACTTCTCTCTAGATATTCTCTATCAGTGATGTTTTCCACGTTCATTAATTTTATAAAACGGAAATGTGATACATATTTTGATACAGCCAAAAAAAGAATATGTGGCACACATTATGATACACTGGGAGAGTGGGAGTACATAGTATGCTCTAGTCTCCAAGAGCCCGATCAAATATATGATGAGATGGACCCTTTTTTAAAAGAAATACTATTGTACTTTGTATAAAATTTTACACGACTTTTCACACTAATAATAATGAATTCTTAAAAATTTACCGTGGTTGTTGACCAAACCCACATCAACGAACCCTCGTCAGCCAAATTCACCAATATGATAGGTGATGTCCAAAAATCGGTCAAGAAGTCATGACGACTGACAGGAGCCAGGAGGGCCCTGGCCGGCCGACCACCGTGACCAGCGGCGTCGGAAAGGAGAAGTGAGAGCAACATGGAGGAGTTTTATATAATATACTATCCTCTGTTCTTTAATTCTTGCAACAGTTTGACTTTCACGTTTGACAACGTACAACTTTGAATGTAATTATATTTAATTATGTATTAGTAAACATTATAAAAGGTTGATATTTTGGGAATTCACATTGATATGAATTCAATAACATTTTATACGTAATAATTTGATTATGTATATTAGTAGAAAATCATGGTCAAAGTAAGATTTGTGAATAGTGCAAAAATCACAATGTTGCAAGAATTAAAGAACAAAAGAAGTACTTATATGTATGTACTCCGTAAATATTACTAATAAAAAAGTCATGGACAAAAATATGACTTAGTAACTATTAGTGAATACTCCCTCCGTCGCGTTGGAATGTTCCCGGTTTGACCTACACACATATTAAGGAAATAAACTTCCTAGGGGGTAAATTTTACTGTTTTGACACTGTTTTGACACTGTTTGGCATTGTTTCGACACTGTTTGACACTGTTTTGCACTGTTTGACCCTGTTTTGATGTAGGATAACTTTCCATTTAGGGAAATGAGAACTTTCTAACGGGACACCCAAAAAAGGAAAGCGGGAACATTCCAACGGAACGGAGGGAGTAAATTAAAAATATATACTCTACGCATAGGACCAGTTAGTTAGAAATTTGGTTTGTTACAAATTAAACTATGAATTCCGTGCATCTTTTAGTGAAATGTGTACTTCGTATATGTCAAGAATAAAGTACTCCCTCCGTCCCTGTTTTATCTCCCATTTCGGATGAGCACACTTATTAAGATAGTGAATTTTGTGTGGTGAAAAGTTGTGCAGAGGAGAGAGAAATGTGTAAGAATGATTGTGAACCACAAATTCTTTGACAAAAAGGGAAGGAGGAGATAATTTTGGGACAGACGAAAAAGGAAAGTTTGAAGATAATTCAGGGACGAAGGGAGTATAAATTATGGTGTTCTCTTCTAATATTCCTTTGTATTACGATCAGTGATTTTCTTAAACGTATATTAAGGCCTACTCATAAACCTGGGTAAATAAAAATATACTCCACAAAGGTGTGATTAATAGGTTTGTTTGATTAATAGGCCTACTCATTATCTTCAGTTTTGTTTTTGACTTGATTAATTAAAAGTTATAGTCCTGTAACTTTTTTAACCAACAACTCCCGGCATCATATTTTTAAAAAACATATCATCAAGCAGCCCCTTTCTGGTATAGGAATTTCCTTTAAAAACATTCTGATGATAATCTCTTTCAAATAATGTACGGAGTATATACATTTGCACCAAGCAAACTATCTGTGCTTGTGGTTGTGTGGGGTGAGAGGGGAAGGGGGTGACTACTGACTATACTAACTTATATCTATGTGGCGACTTGTTTTCTTCTCCTGAGCTTTTAAACCGTATGTCTTCAACTAAAATTTTCAAAACGCCTCCAAAAGTGCCTTTACCAATTCAGATTTTTTTGTAGTACACCATAACGATCATATATCCTGATATGATAATGATGCGCAGCAAATATATGGTTGATGATTATCCGATATTGAGAACTTCACCTCATTTTCATAGTCATTGTTTTCAAAAACGTCATCCTCTCCAAGAGTCTTCCGTGCACAGCTGCACCTTCATGGGAACAAATAATATATTTTTACATTGATATCTTTTGAAGTGTTCCATTTGGTCTTTCAGAATAGCATATTCATTACAGAACTGATACAAATCCCTCATGCGAATTTGACATACCAGTTCCCTAGAAATACTCCTTTCCCTTGTAAAAGTTATAGGAGTACAATATTTTTTTGAAAGTAGGAGTACAATATTAAAAACCAATGTTGTCAATATTACTAATTTTATGATAGTTATACTCGAATTGTACTCACCCTATTAGAAGTCATAGGAGTACAATATTTAAAAACCAATGTTGACATATACAATTCTGTTATTAAAAATGATAATCTTTTCCCAACCTTCCCTTTACGCCAGATAATCGTCTCCCTAACTGATGTCGCTGCACCGCATCAGCTTCATTGATGACCGGATTACTCTATGGGTCTATGGGTTTCCCTTATGGCCGCCACAAAAGTTCCTATATCATCCCTAACTACTATGCATGCCCAGTCCGAGATACCTGCATGAGAGAGCAGCATCAACATTAATTAAAAACAATAACAATAAGTACAATTATTACTCCATATAAACTTAATTCATTGAATGCTTATAATACATCTTCATTTCTGAAACTACACATGCTTTCACAAAGTGAAGCATTATGTAATCTAGCTACTACTCTTCTACTCTATTACGTATTATGAAAATATTCTTCTGCTCTAGCTTAGTACGTACTACGTAGTTCACAAATATCTGGTTCCCTTTGCTATTCATCTGTCTGTTCAGCTCTTTCATGTATTAGTAATATAATCTCCTTATGGCTTTATGTTTGTACGATTTAAATCCCTTGAACATAATGCCTGCAAAAACACTATTTCTAAAAGAGAAATTATTATGAAATCAACGACTCCACAAACTAAAGTACCAAAAGTAAAATAATTTTATGCTACCCCAAAATTGATACTCCATACTTTTTACTAACAGAAAAGGATACCCTAAGCAATACTCTATAAGTCCGTGTATCTTTTCCTTGGAAATTCTGCCAAAATATATACCTAAAGAACACACACACGACAACAAACAATACAAATATTCTACAATCGGAAGCAAGAGCTTCCATAACTTGGACAACAGTTAATCAAAACAATGACCACAAAGGCACAAACAACTTTCAAAAGCAGAAGACAGAAAATCTGAGACAAACAAAGTAGAACAAATCTGATTGTGTGAATCCAGTTTTAACAAAAACCAACAAAAATGTTGATCGTCTTCCTAAGTGGTTTAATTTCAAAGCCCTACTCCATTTCCTCCCCATCTTTATTAGCAGAAAACTCACGCACCGAGTTAATCTGCGTTGGGTCATCGAGATTTTTAACAACTTTTTCGAAAAGATCTCACATTTGGATGATATTAGTTTTCAAACAGACCTTTGTTCGATTTTAATTATATATTAAGAAAACCTTTTATTCTTTTGAATAACTAATTGTTATACAGAGTATAAGGATGGATGTGTTTTGTAAGGTTGTATTTTGTAATACAGAGTATACATTCATAAATCATAGCTATACTATACGGTTATACATAGTCCAAATGTAATTTGGTTGTAAGATGATACCGTACCAGTAGCCCCAAACTTGAAGAAATCCTGTCCATCTTATTCTTCTTGAAGCCAGGAAGCGGCAGAGCCAGATCCTAGAGATAGAGACCTCCAGTCCTGATTCTCACCGTACGCTGATGCCAGAAGCCCTTATCTGTTTTCTTTCATTGTGAAGTAAGCAAGTCGCAGAATGCAGAGGCCGTCGGTCTGCCACTCGCCTCGTCGCCCATCGCTTTCTATCCACCACTGCTTGCATCACCCCGTGCCACTCGTCGCCTGCGTCAGCCCAGGCGGTCCAACTGAACTACCACTCCGGTCACTCACCTTTGCCCCGCTCCACAACGCGTCTCCAGCCCTCCTCTGCCAGTCGGCAATCTCAATCTCTCTGAGTCTCTCTCATGCTCTCACACTTCTCATGAGAGAGGAGTTTAGAGCGTATAAAGCCCAACTTGAATAACGTGCTTAACTTTTTGATGACATAGACCAAAAGAGTTATGAAATGACTAAAAGCTGTTCGAATTCCAATGCCTATTACTTTTCATTAGGTCGGCTCATATCTTTATTATACAGTTTGCCTGACTACTCCAACTATTCTTGATGTACACACTCTTGTACACATCTTATACACACCATGTTGTGAAGCTTTTTTTTGTCTGTGAATCCGGTTCACAGACAATATTTTGTTTGTGCAAAACATTGTCTGTGAATCGATGTTCACAGACAAAAAAAAAACTTTCACAAACATAGGTGTGTACAAAAGTGTGTATAAGAGTGTGTACAAACATCATTTTTGTGACTACTCCGTCGTTCCGTCCCCATAACCCATGTATAATTGTATATGGCTTGGCCACCTTTGCCTTTACTTGATGTGACATTTTTGAGCGGCAAGTTGATCAAAAATTCCACCTCGCTTTGTATATAGTAAGATACTTTCTACCGGTGGAATAAAGCAAATGGTCAAATAACAAAGTAATTTTTGATGATAAAATTTCCTAAATAAGTGTAAATATTGTCGATGTTCTTAAATAGGAGTATCATTGTTTTATTTCACATTTAAAACAAAATAACTCCTATTTTTTTGAAGATGGTAGAGTATTAATGTAACAAAAAATATTGTATATAAAGAAATATCTCAACATTTGTATATCATTTAATATTTTGTGTTTTATATTATTATTTATTGTTTTGAGATTACGTTTTATATATTTGAGTTGCATAATTTTTTTTTTTGAACCAGTTACATAATTTTAAAAATATTTTTTTAGAAACATATATTTAATTAAATAATGAAACAATAAAAATCCACTAAACCTGCGAGAGCTTTTCTTGCTTCCTGGAGACTGGAGAGGTTTTATCAGTTATCGCAGGGTTTTACCAAAACCTAACGATGGCTCAGTCTTACCGGTCCTCCGCTAGGAGGCTTCTATACTCAATCTGCTGTTCATCCACAAAAGAAGCTCTGTTGAATCCCAAATGCCCAGTACCGACCCCCATTGCAGCTCTTCTTGGCAGGTTCCAGCTCGGCCGCCACTTCTCCGCCGGCAGCGCCGCCGCCACGCGGTTGAAGGAAGAGAAGGACGCCTTATGGAAAGATTCACTGGAGAGGGTCCGGAACATCGGAATTTCGGCCCATATTGACTCCGGGAAGACCACCCTCACGGAACGGGTGCTTTTTTACACGGGTCGGATCCATGAGATTCATGAGGTTAGAGGCAAAGATGGAGTTGGAGCCAAGATGGATTCTATGGATCTGGAAAGGGAAAAGGGGATTACAATTCAATCTGCTGCCACGTACTGTACGTGGGCTGGCTACCAGGTGTGAAAGCTTTCATCTTTATCCCATTCATCTGCAGTTTGTTCAACCAATTCAGTGATTTTTCTTTGCATGCTATCCTTGTGAAGTTTTATTATTTAATTTTCAGTTAATAAGTGATTCCTAGATGATGGAAAGATATAAACTTTCTATAGATAACTCAACGGTTTTCAGGAAAAATTGTTCCTTTTACCGTCTAATTTTTAGCTTGCTTGATTAATGAACTGAATTTTGACAAATAAAAAGCAGTTAGTGACCATTACAACACTTACTGTAGTATATTGGTTGTAGTAATTTGGATTTTAAAATCGTGGCCATTGCAATTGGTTATTTTGACTTCTGGCCCTTACAAAACTTTTCTGGATAATTTTATTTCAGGTGAACATAATTGATACTCCTGGTCACGTTGATTTCACCATTGAAGTTGAGAGGGCTTTGCGTGTTCTTGATGGTGCCATTCTTGTACTCTGTAGTGTTGGTGGTGTGCAGAGTCAGTCAATAACTGTTGATCGGCAAATGAGAAGATACGAGGTTCCAAGACTTGCTTTTATCAATAAACTTGACCGAATGGGGGCTGACCCATGGAGAGTTCTCAATCAGGTTAGTTATACCTGACACTCAGAAAGTGGCATGTTTAAAATTTTACATGCTTATTATTCTTGCATTATTGTTTCATTGCATTACGCCTGAGCAAAACTTATCTTTTTTCTAGTGGTTGTGAATTATAAAAGTAAAATATGGAGAAGAACCCTTTTGCATAGAAACTAAGGTGTACAATTGTACAAAAAGAGTTGCAGTATAAACTTTGCCATAGGCGGTCTTTCGCATAGTCTTCATCACACTTTTAAGTAATGAACTAATGACACCTTTTTTTCATATAGGCAAGGTCCAAGCTTCGCCACCATGCTGCTGCAGTGCAAGTTCCTATTGGTTTAGAAGATGACTTCAATGGTCTTATTGACCTTGTGTATATGAAAGCTTACTACTTCCATGGTCCTAGTGGGTCTGTTTCTCAATTTTCATTTTATGCACTATATGCATCTCTGAACGAAGAATGCTACTGTTTTCACGATTCTTCTTATCTTATTCATATGTGCATGCTACCTTTTCAGAGAGGAGGTTGTCACAGAAGACATTCCTGCGGATATGGAAACATTTGCTGCTGACAAGAGGCGTGAGCTCATTGAAGCTGTCTCTGAGGTTGATGAGAAGCTCGCAGAGTCGTTTTTGAATGATGAACCTATATCAAATAGCGACCTAGAGGTGTGTAGATGATAACCATTCTCTCTGCATAAGTGCATATATTCATTAATAATTTTTTCATACAACCAATTAATTGCAAACAGAAAAATTCAACACTATCCCACTCATTTACAAATACAACCATTTGGCGGACATTGTACGTATTGGTCAAAAGTTGAATTATTAGTTTCTAGTATTGTAGACCCACTGCCCACATGGCCACATGTAATCATTTTTACTTTGCTGGCATGCTTTTTTTAAAATGAACTACTCCCTCCGTCCTACTATAATTGTACCATTCTTCCTTTTCCGCCCGTCCCACTAAATTTGTCCCATACCATATTTGGTAATATTTGTCTCTAATTCATGCTTACTTTTTTCTCACTTTATCAACTCATTATCAACCACGTAATTCCACTTTTCTTAAAAACCACACCACTCCCTTCCGTCCCAATATTAGGGGGACAGAGGTAGTACTTATACACTTCTTCTGATTTGTCTTTCTCCTCTTCTATGCTCAGGAAGCAATCCGTAGAGCGACAGTAGCGCGTGAATTCGTCCCTGTATTTATGGGTAGTGCTTTCAAGAATAAGGTTGTCATATATCTGGTTCCCTTTGTGCTACATTTTTAATTCATATACTTTTAGTGTTTGTGTTAACAATAGTTTATGTCAACTTCATATATAACTTTAAAGCATGTGACACGTGTGTTTTACTACTTTCAATGTGTTTTTTTTTTCTGTTCTGCCTAAGATATGTTATGCATCACTGCCATTACCAGTTACACCAGCCTAATTGGCTAAAAAAACCAGATTTGAAATTTTTAATGTATTTTAATGGGTTATCTTTTTTAAAAAACTAAATGAGTCTTATTTAGTGTATGCTTACATCGTCAGAACTCAGTAGTCTTTGACAAAACATAGCATTCTGCATGATTTGTTTTTTGAAGGTGCACTGTTTCTTGTGTGGATTATTTTTTGGCTTAGGTGCCGGTTAGATTACTTTAGAAGTATTTGAGCTCAGGAGAAACTAAGAAAGTAATAGTTTTTTACTCTGATTAGTTTTCACCATATTTATCTTTAATTTTTAGTTGAAATTGCATATTATTTTTGCATTTAGTAGTTTCCTTTTTGGTGCTTACCAGGGTGTTCAACCTCTTCTTGACGGTGTTATTAAATATCTCCCTTACCCTGTCGAAGTCGGTAACTATGCTCTTGATCAAAACAATAATGAAGAGAAGGTCCAACATTTGACTTATTGAGTAATTTTTTGTTCATTCATTTCATTCTTAATTCAATTAAGGAACTGAGTGTCTATGGATTAACTGTTGTCAGGTTATGCTAACAGGAAGTCCAGCTGGCCCTCTTGTTGCCTTGGCTTTCAAATTAGAAGAAGGACGATTTGGTCAGCTAACATATTTAAGGTATGTGACCGTACTTCTTTACATCCATAGTTATGATATCTTCCAGTCTTTGCAGTTTATTACGAGTTTTTTACTATGCCTAGTCATTGCCTGTGGCACCATTCTTCAAGCTTATCACAAACGATAGTATATTTTTCAATCATGCAATTCAGCCATTTTACCTTCAGCTTGGCCACCACATTGGGCCATTAAAGTTGCAGTTTGTTTCTTCAATATGACCACTGTACTTTTGATTGTGCAATCTAGCTGTTTTACATCTGTTCTCTTTCCATGCAAGCCATTATACTGCAGAGTGCTATAATGGCTAGACCAACTCTGCCTAATATGGCTGGTTTGTTTGAAGTGGATTAGTGCCTTTAGTGGAAGTGGAAGTAAAATAATGAAATTATATAACTGGAGGTCATTTTGAAAAGAGGAGCCAAATCCAATGGCCAAATTGGGGGTTTAAGACGTTTATTCTGCTAATTTGCCTACCTCTCCTGCACAACTGAGAATGTTCTCTAATCATTCTTCATGAAGAATTTATGAAGGTGTAATTAGGAAGGGTGATTTCATAATCAATGTCAATACTGGAAAGAAGATCAAGGTGAGTTCAGAGAATATCACAAAATTGAATATTTACAAGCTCTATTGAATGATATGTAAGCATCACTGTTTATCCGTTTCTAGCATGTTCACTTAGCTGTGTCACCTTTTTAATAGGTTCCTCGCTTGGTACGAATGCATTCAAATGAGATGGAGGTTTGTGATCACATGTTCTCTCTTAACGTTATAGTAATTTTTATAATTTTGGATAAATTAAGAAAGCAATTCAATTTTTCAGTTGTACTAAGCCAGCAAAAACTTATGATGGAATTTAAAATACTTCGTATTGATTATTTTTTCTAAAAGAAATATTGTTTGTATCACACTATCATCTGCACAAAGTAACATGCATTAGAGATTGTATTTTCCTCTGTCCTTATGTATGTCATTCTTATTATTCTAATATAGGACATTCAAGAAGCACATGCTGGACAAATAGTTGCTGTATTTGGCGTAGATTGTGCAACAGGTACTTAATTGAGTGAGGAACCTACCTCTTATCATCATCATCGTCATCATCATCATCATCATCATCATCTTTAAGGGACTTCTCTCCCCTTAATTAGCATATTCTAGTCAAATTATCATGATTCAAGTCTTCGTATGTTGAATTTTCATCAGGGGATACTTTCACAGACGGATCAGTAAGATACACCATGACTTCTATGAATGTACCTGAACCAGTGATGTCATTAGCAGTTTCACCTATTTCTAAAGATTCTGGAGGACAAGTGAGTGGATGCTCTACCAATATACTTCATCCGTTCTTTAGTAGTTGCGACACTTTCCTTTTTTGGCAGTTTCAAAATAATTGCATCATTCTATTTCAGGTAAGAAAAAAATGGCACAATGACTCCAATACCGTTACTCACACCATTTAATATTTATCTTAATTTTTTAACCACCCGTATCAATCCAAAATAAAGTTCTCGCCGACTCATAATAAAACGATTGGAATATATTACAGCATTACGCACAACGAAGTAGACTCAATATCTATCACTTCTTCTCCAACTTATACCTTATTATAGAGTTATAGTTATATTTTTTGTAAATCACACATTCATACCAACTCACGAGCTCTTCATCTTCCCTTTCAAGCAAAACCATTTTATTCTTCTTCCATTCAAGCCCTGAGATCATGAACGCTGACGACAAATCTTTTTTCTCCGGCAACTTCCCCTCATGATCTGAATGTGGAGGCAGCTCAACTTTGGTGTTCCAGATACTTTCTCACCGATTAGAGAGAAATCACCAGTTTTACATCAAAGAGAATACATATGGTGAAAAATTGTTGACCAAATTGGAATCCCTCCATGATAAGCCACCATCAAGTTTTCACGCATTAGAAGAGATCAAAGAGAAGAAGCATGCTAACTTTACCCGGAAGAAAATAAAAAAACCATTGGTAGCTTGAGTAGCTGAACCTGCAGCGAAGAGCTATTAAACAGTGTATCACTTTTTTTATCTGTCCAAGTAATACATGTGTGAACAAGGGTAGGTTGGGGAGGCAATTTACTTTTGCTAACTTTCTTGATATCTGTGCCTTTTTCCATGTTGCATTTATATCTGAATGGAGGAAGTATGTTTTGTGTTTGAGTATACATAAGTTAAAGAATACTGATGTTGTAAACTTCATTGGCAGTTCTCAAAAGCTCTAAATCGCTTTCAGAAAGAGGACCCAACTTTCCGAGTAGGCTTAGATCCCGACAGTGGCCAGGTCTGATTCCCGCCTTTTTGCGTTTTAAAAGTTCACCATTTTTTTAATCTATACCTATGATTATTTTGGAGATAATGTGTTTTTGACACATCAATGACGTCAATACATTGCCAGACAATTATTTCTGGAATGGGTGAACTGCATCTGGATATATATGTTGAGCGTATCCGAAGAGAATACAAGGTCGACATTTATAAGCATGTTCTGTTGATCTTGATCACATTTTTCTAACCACTAATAGTTCTGCATTTTTTATGCATTCCCTTTTTAGGTTGAAGCAACAGTTGGAAAACCTCGAGTAAACTTCAGAGAGACTATAACCCAGCGTGCTGAGTTTGATTATTTACACAAGAAACAAAGTGGAGGACAGGGTCAATACGGCAGAGTAACTGGGTAATACATGTCAAACCATTTGTTTTTCCAACTCCGTTTTGTTTTTGATTTATTTGGCTAAGTATTTGCAACTTTACTGTATATGCTCTTTCGATGAGTTTAAGGAAGTGAAAGATGATTATATCTGCCTTCTTATCTCATTAACCTCATTTTCACTAGTTCCTTCGGGGTTCCTAATGGACCCTTAAGAGTTATTCAGTAAGATGCTAAGACAATATCTTGCATGCGGAATTTAGGGAAGTAAAGAGTTTACATTGTTTGGTTTGATTTTTTAATCTAAAATGTCCGACACTTTTTCTAAACATTTCTCATTGTACTATGCAAAACATTTTTACTTGGGGAGAGAGTGGTAAAGTACTTTACATGGTTAATATGAAACAATGCATTTACTTTCGTCTAATTTAAAAATAAATTAAACATATTAAAAAGGGAAAAGGGTCAAATAGGCCCTCGAACTAACTTAAAAAGTACAAATCACCCCTTATATAGTAGACTCTGTCCGGCCGTCACCATTTGGTTGGTTCCCGGTGGAATTTTTTGATGAATTTTTTTGAGCATCTTCTTCATCAAGTCTAGTTTACTCATACCAAATTTCAGATAAAGTTCGACCGGGAAGACGTCAAATGATTTTCTGAAATGTACTGCGCAGTTATCTTCAAAAATCCATTTGACTGCCTTCCCGATTGAATTTTTAGCTGGGATTTGGTATGAGTAAACTAGACTTAATGAAAAAGATTCTCAAAAACTTTCATAAAAAAATTCCACCGGGAACCACCCCAAATGGCGACGGCCGGACAGAGCCCCATATATAAGGGATGATTTGCACTTTTTAAGTTAGTTCGAGGGCCTAATTGACCCTTTTCCCTAATAAAAATGTATTTGTGTTTACATGTAAAATGCAAAATGAATGTTTCTCTAAACTTTCATGCAATTATTTTGCGTGATTTTCTTTATGTGAAAACTACCAAACATGCTCTCATATTCTAAGCATTGTTGTCTTGTTTTTCTTTAATGTCAGCTATGTGGAGCCACTTGAACCTGGGTGCTCATCGAAATTTGAATTTGATAATATTATAGTGGGACAAGCTATACCATCAAACTTTGTCCCTGCAATTGAGAAGGGCTTTAAGGAAGCCGCTAACTCGTAAGTTATTCTTCTAATCATCTGTATGTATGCATGTTGATTGCAATCAACTTGGAACTTGGAAGGTAAGTTAAATCAGGGAACCAAATTAGCAAGAAAGGTGGATCTTAGATAAGGTTAAAACCTAGGTTAATTGATATTTAATTTCAAATTGTAGCCTGCATTTTTAAAAATCTAGAGAAGAAAATAATCAAGAAATGCATGCTATAATTTTAAGATACTTGGTAGCTTTGATAGGCCTAAAAGACTGCATCCAAATCTCTATAAGTTGTATCCTAAAATGGCTAAAAGGTTAAGGTTAACCTTTTATGTCAATTTGTTTTTGTCTCAAATTTCATATATTAACATAATATTTATGCCAACTGGCATGAGACAAATACTTCAATGCGCTGCTCAGCCCAAATCAGGTTGGATAACGTGGGTGGATAGATGGTTCAAGCAAACCTTAAGCAGTATATCCTTGATCATGGATGCCGAATAAGTTACCAAATCACAACCGAATCTCGCTCCAATACCATAACCTGATTTCCACCTTGAAAAGTTAACCTAGTAGGAGTAGCGATTATGAATTTAACTTTTATATTAATTTTTTCTCTAGCCTCTTCTCCCTTTCACATATCCTTTGAGATGATTAAGCTGATGATTGTGACTGTGACTGTGATGCAAATTTTAATAAGGAGAGGCTAAAGGTTGTGTAATAGTCATTTATGATGGTGCTCAATGGCTTTGTAGCGGCTGCAATAATGCAATCTGACCTCTATTGTGGCAGGGGTTCGTTGATTGGTCACCCAGTAGAGAATATTCGTGTTGTCTTGACAGACGGTGCTTCACATGCTGTTGATTCCAGTGAACTTGCATTCAAACTTGCAGCAATTTATGCCTTTAGACAGGTTCCACCTTAATCTTAATATTGATCTGAGCTTTTATCTTAATAATGATCTCAACTTCTCAAGAGACTGTTGTGCTCTTTTAATGCATTCTCCACTTAAACACTCCCTCATTTCATCACCATCCTTCATTTTTTCATCTTTTGTTGCACTGCTACGTGTTACTAGCCACTTTTGGTCTTTCTGAACACTTCAAAAATTTTGAACTAATTTTTGTGAGCAATTGACTGGGATGGACCCAAAGTAGCTAGAAACTAATGATGGTGCACCAAATGTTGAAGTAATGAAAGCGGGGAATAAAAAATTTGAATGACCTAGTAGCTGTGGGATCAAATGTGGATGCTTTTCCAAGAACAAGAAGGGAAATGAGTTAGAAGTTGTTTGTCACTGTATCCCTTGTTGAGGTTGTCTATGGTAGGTTCTTACTCTAATCTTTTCAACATTTAACCTAATTTGTATTTCAGTGTTATTCAGCAGCACGGCCTGTCATACTGGAACCTGTGATGCTTGTTGAAATAAAAGCACCAACAGAATTCCAAGGCTCTGTCACTGGTGATATTAACAAGTGTGTACTGAAATGGTTACTTTTGGAATGGCATGTAGCCGTGGTTAATTTGTGTTGTATGTGATTAATTTAATATTTTGTAACATGATGACAGGAGGAAAGGTGTCATTGTTGGTAATGACCAGGAAGGAGATGATTCTGTGATTACTGCTCATGTATGTACAGCTTTTACACGGGCAGCATTATAGTTTACATTGTTTCACATTTTTGTCAGCACAAGTTTGACATTATTACAAATGTTTGAGTCTTTGATAATCTTTAAATGGGTGAAGTGAACGAATAAATGTCTGAATTAGTTATATTAAGAAATTTCATACAACTATATAAGAGGCACTTGACATGCCTGAATTAATCACTACCATTCATATTTAATATATGGTCCTCATCCATCAGTAAACTATCTCAGTTTGGAATATCAGTTGTCTAATTAATGATATTTGTAATCTTGTTTTGCTTCAGGTTCCTCTCAATAATATGTTCGGATACTCGACCTCTCTTCGGTCAATGACACAGGTCAGTTGAGTTTTTATGCCCCCCCCCCCCCCAAACATTGATACAGAAAGGGGGAGCACAACTCTGATTGTTTATGCTTCAAACATAGACCAGTGGAACTAAGCCCTTGTTCAGCCGGAGGGCTTGCGTGCTGGGGTGAGGGCTTAGTGTTTTCGGTTGGGGAAATATTTTTGAGGAGTTATGTTAGTTATGATTTCTTTCTTTTATTTTTAAACAGAAAATATTCTACTTCATTGGGGTGAGATCACATACAAACCATGCTTAACTTACTAACCTACAAACTCAATAATATGCAACACTTTGAACTTCAATATGCAGTACAAATAATGTAAAGATGCACTCTTTGAATTTCAATATGCAATACAAATAATGTAAATATGAAACTGCTATTATGGCTTGAATAATATGAAACGCTTTGAACTTCAATGTGCAATACAAATAATGTAAAGATGATTTGAATGGGAGGACTAGTTTGTATGTGACCCCACCCCTTCATCTTTACATTATTTTTACTGCATATTGAAGTTTAAAGTGATGCATATCATTGAGTTTGTAGGTTAGTATTTTAAGCATGATTTGTATTTGATCTCTTATCCTACTTCATTAATGTTACATATATATGCGTGTTTGTATATACTATGTATAATTGTATATAGATCAATAGATTTTTTTTCTATGAAAAATATGTAAAATTTAATGCTTTTTTATATTTTTTCCAACTTGAGAAATCCTTCTCTCCATTAAATCAAGCATATCATCCTTTGAAACTGCTTCATTCTCCTTTTCATTATTTCCCTTGTTTCTCCTTCCATACCCTCTTTTAAGTCACACAATGGCAACATTGTCATCTCATAGTGGGTGCTTGAATTAAGGTCAGATTGGCTGTGGTGGAGCCAAATTAATTCAGGGTGGTTAGATTTTAGTAATACACAATGTTTAATTGTTTGTTTTTAGACCACATGAGTTAAATTATTTATAATTTGCGCTTGTAAGGGTAAATCCAAGGTACATTAAGCATATGCATAATGCATATGCTTAAAGTCAATAGTGAGCTAATACAAATTAGTTTTGAAGTTCACCTGTTGAATCAGGGAAATGAAACTTTTACTCCGTATAAGATTTTCTAAGCGCTAGGCATTTAGGTTCGGTTCAATTTATTTTTATTTCTGTCTGGTTCAGTTTATAACAGGTTAGGGGAAATAATTAATAAAAACCAAACTATGCTTAGGTTTGGTTTAGTTCGATTTTATTTTGGTTATTTTTAAAAAATATTTAATGGGGGTTTATTTTATTTTTTTAATTCAGTTCAGTTTCGGTTTGGTTTGACTCACTATTATTAAAACTTTAAGTCTCATGTGCACAGATGGGTGCAAATATATTTGTAAAATTGAGTTATACCATCTCCTAGACACGTTTTATGTTTTTTGAAATTAGGAGCACAAATAATCTTAAAAAAATATGGAGTATTTTTTGTTGAAATTAGGTCACCTTCCACCCAACCCTCCTTGTTCTGCCCGGGCCCCGGGGGATGGGTAAGGGAGAGAGCCCCCCTTGGAAAAAAGAAATTTGGGACAAATACTTGTCTCATAAAAATATGTTACAATATGAAGCTTCGGTCTCCATTAGAACGTTATGAAAATTTCAAGCTTTGCCCCCCCACCCACTACAAAATTACTGAACTTCTGGTTCTGCAACTGGCTTCTTGTGCAGGGTAAAGGGGAGTTCACGATGGAGTACAAAGAACATTCAGCAGTTTCTCATGACGTCCAAACACAATTGGTTAACACATACAAGGCGGCCAAGGGAACTGAATAGAGTCCATCCTTCATTCTTTGATCAAAACAATGATTTCTTTGCTGTACATTGTGGGTGTGTGACATGTGATAGTTGAGATCAAAGCGTGTTAGGAACAGTTCGTTATAATGATCATGAATAAAAGTTTTTATTTTTCACATATGCCCATTCTGTCAATTGTTGCTGCTGTCACAAATGCCCACTGGCTAGGAAGTCTGGTTTTATCATTATTGCCCATGCCTGAATTCAGTGTTCATTGAAACCTAATCGTAAATCTTGATGGCTGCTTGAACCTGCCCCCAAAGGCATGGAAAGACTCTTCAAGCTAATCTTAGGTGATGCACAATCCCATGGTATCTCAAAAATAGGGGTGGACTCGGGCCGGGCCAACCGACCCGGAACCGGACTGGCCCGCTACTGTGAGGGCCCGGACCGGCCCGGTGAACCGGTTGGTTGGCCGGTTCGGGCCACCCAGCCCGGTGGGATCTCGGTTCGGGCTCGGGCCCTCCAAAAGGTGAACCGGCCCGGCCGGTTTGGGCCCGGGCTGGGCCATTTTTTTTTTTGATTTTTTTTAAGTTTTTGGGTTGGGATGGGTATTTTGGGCCATTTGAGGTGGTTAGGGTTGGTTTCGGGGTGAGGGGGAGGGTTGGGGGTTAACTAGGAAAAGCAAAAAAAAAAAAAATAGAACCGAGACCTGGCCTGGCCCGGACTCGGGGGTTACCTGGGCCGGTTCTGGGCCTCCCATACCTTGAACCGAGGCCCGGCCGGTTCAAGGCCCGAACCGGGCCCGGCCCGAACCGAGTCCATCCCTACTCGAAAAGGCCTATGCTACTCAGGGTGACTGATGTGGCCAGATTTCTGAAAACAGAATATGTTCCATTGGTCTCCGTGACTTGCTCTGGATATGCAAATATCATACGCTACTTGGACATGATGACCTAGAGTTAAACTCGGTTTGGTTCTGGTTTTAGACTTGTTGGTTTTGAGTCCAATAATAGAAAAGTAATTGATCTAAATAGGATTAAAATACAAGACTAATGCAAAAATAGGACCTTATGTTTTTCTATTCCCAAAATAGGTTCATTTTTAATTTTATCCATATCTTACCCCTCCTTATATTTCAAACACACTTCCTCTGTTTCTTTTTTTTTTTCGTGCCCGCACCGCACCACCGACTCCCTTTCTTTTCTTCACTTTGTTCTCTTTCTTTACCCTCATCTACCATCACGTCTCATCTGCCAGCTCATCTTCCTTCTCTCATCATTTTTCTTTCTTTCTCCCATCCCCACATCTCCCTTCTTTACCTTATCTAACCTACACTTTCTTTCATTTTCCATGAATATTTAAAATTCTCCTATGTTGACCAAATCTCCTCTATGAATTACGGAGTAAAAGGTTTGTCTTCTTCTCTTGCTGTCTCGCACTCTTCCTTTGCTTCTTCTTCTTATCTTCTTCCTTTTCTTCTTCTTTTTTTGTTCTTATTTCCTATTAATTATTTTATTTATTTCGAAATTCTAAATTAGAAATGCTATTTCAGTTGTGATTGTTTTAAATACTCCGTATAAACGTTCAGTGATTGAAAAAGTGGAAATGACTTTGAAGTTGTTTATTTGTTTATTTATTTGTGATTATTTTGTTTTAAATTTAATTTCAATGATTGAAAAAAGTGGAAATGACTTTAAATTAATATTAAAAATTACTTTGACATTACAGTTTTATCAAAGCCCCGTTTTAATCTAGTTGACATAAATACATAATGCCAACTTACACATATGAAGATGACACTAATTTCATCACGGTGCCCATTTTTCTTCTTTATATGTTCCTGAGTTTTAAGTTTTTCTTCCTATTGTCATAATTTACATTTTCAACTTTAAAATAAAATTATTTTATTATTGGATAATTTCAAAATTTCACATAATAGTGTCAAAATATTCAACTCGATAGTGCCATTTTTTGTGGGATAATGCCATACTTTTTGTGTGATAGTGCCATTTTTGTGGGATAATGCCATACTTTTTGTGTGATAGTGCCATGTTTAACATCTATAAATGTCATTTATTTGTACGAAAATGCCATTTTAATTTAACATGTCAATACATATTACTATTTCATTACATTAGAAGAATTGACTATGGCGACAACACAACCGGAGAGTGGCAGCCATGGAAGACCAGACAGCTTCGACCAGATTAGCACTCATCGGAGGGCGGCTTTACAGAATGCGACAGTGATAGACTAAGACTTGTCTGAGAGCGGTGGCGGCAATTGAGGCGATGGCCGCAGCACAACTAGGGAGTGACGACGATGGAAGACCAAGAGGATCAGATCTAGCCAGATGAGTACTTACCGGAGTGGGGCGGCGGCATTACAGAAGTAGCAGTGAAAGATGAAGACCCACCTGACAGGCTGAGAGCGGTGGCGATGGTCGAGGAGATACCGACGATTGTTGAGGCAGATGGCGTCGGCGTCAGAGAAGAGATTGTGGCATATTGGCACCAGATCTCGTTTGGTTCTCTGCGATATTATGTAGATCCGTATTGTGTAATGTCTATTTTATTGTTTTGTTTTATAATATTAAACCGGGCTTTTCATTAAGGGCATTTATGTCAAGCTAGGTCCTTTTTACTCCTACGAATCATTGAAGTCTTATTTTTGAACTTTTATTATGATTTAGTCCTACTTACGTAATAATCTCATAATAGAACTTGTAACCGGGCCCGGAAATAACAGGTGTTTTTTGAAATCGGACATATTGATTTGGTTTAACCGAACCAATTTGTACCAAACTGAACTAAATCTAATCGAAATCGGACCATATGCATTTGGTTTGAGCTTGGTAATGTTTTTTCCAAATCATATTAAATCGAATCGGAATTGAGAAAAATCGAACAAAATTGAATCGAATTAAAGAAATTCAATAGAACTTTAATATGTTATTAAAAAACAGTAAATCAAAATTGCACTAAGCCGAATCGAATTAAATTGAAAAATATTATGATTTTTGATTGGTAATAATTCTTTCAATCTGTTCCAAACTAAACTGAAATTGATAAAATTGAATCGAAAATCGATATGCCCACCCGTAGTAGAAATAGTAGGCTGATATTAGAGCGGGTCCGGTTTGGTTGGTTGCTACTGAAAAAACACTGAGCTGAGTTAAAAAGGAGTTGCAATATTCCAAGAGTCATCTCCTGGTTCAAACACAAGTCTTGTTTGAAGTCAATTGTGAATGTCTCCTTCACCAGTCTTAAGGCAACGGGTAGATCTATTAATAAGAAACCATCTAAGTCAATTTGCCTTTATACTTTCCAATCCAAGCTAGAAGTGTGCTTGGAGATGAATTGAAAGCTATTTTCCAATGGGCAACTAAATCAGGCTACAGCCACTTTCGATTGTTCACATCTTCCTTACCTTAAGAGAGCTATTGTGGCATATAAATGGAGAAGGTCTATACCAAATTTGAGTAAAAGAGTGTGGTCTATTTGAATGGCATTCCAATGCATAAGAGAAAAACTAAAGAAAAGATGCGCATGAAACACAAAAGGGCCTCTCTTGCTTAGGTGGCCCGTCAGAAGGTGTGACCGACAGACCGAGGGTCTACTTCTGGACCTTGTGCTGGACTAGTGGAGGACCTAGGGAGGGGCCTAGGGGGGCAAGTGCCCCCGCTTTCGGCCAGTAATTTCACTACTAGTAATTAGAGTAAAATAAGTGCCCCGCTTCCGACCAAGAATTTCACTACTAGTGTGCCCCTGCTCTGACAAATCTCTGAGTCCGCTACTGTGCTGGACCTTAAGCTTTGCCAACTCAGATTGTAGAAGTCCATTTGTGTTACCATCGGAGAGTGGATTCGATCATAAAAAATGCACTTGCTAACTGATTTGGAACCCCAATCCACCCCTTGGAGATGCCCTAAAGGATGCAACTGCCTTAGAATTTGTAGGCCCTACTCCACATATTCGTTAATAAAACTTTTGCACCAAATACTATTACTAATAATGATGGTGGTGGTGATGCATATCTAATCAACTAGATTTATGTTACAAAAATCATGCAAGTTGCTTATTTATCAATGTTGCTTTTTTATTTTCTGACTTTGTATTTGTAATTTTCTTATAACATCACCCCACCATCAGCACAAGTCCAAACTATGTGGTATGAGGTATCAAGTAATTTATTAGAACTTTTTTGCTAAAATAAATGTGAAAAGTAACGAATTCATACCTCCAGGCTACTTTTTATAAGAGATGAAATTTAAAAATTTAATACTTTACCAATTTTTTTTCTATTTGACTGTCCTAAAAGGCTAAAAGCACTTGCTATTTCTCCTAACTACTTTTTTTGCCTTTATTGTTTCGTTTTCTTTTCTAAAATTTAAATCACAGTTTTCACTTTGTTCATTTTACAAGCCAGACGGCAGGCTGAATCATGACATGAAAACATCATCTTTATAGTTTATAATGTACTCTGTACAGATTAACAAAAACTACATAGAATAGGGGTGGACCGGCCCCGGGTCGGGGCTGGGCGGGACTGGAGTCCTGGGCTGCAGGCCCGGTACGAGCCCGGGTTTGTATCAGGACTGGGCCGGGCCCGGGTCGGGTTGGGTCATTTTTTAATGGCTTTTCTAATTAATTCCTACCCCCACCCCCAAACCCCCCCAAACCACCCAGCCCCACCTACCTAGCCGCAGCGCAAAGCCGATCACCATATTTGCTGTCCCATAGCCCGCCCCCATCCCCGGGTGCCCTAGGACCGATCCTGGTACCGCCCGGCGGGCCGGGTCGGGCCTGCACAGTGGTGGGCCGGGCCATCCCTGTCCATCCCTAACATGGAATAATAAAAACTTGCTTTATTATTACATAATTCATTGTAGGGGTGGACCGGGACCGGACCGAGTCAGACTCCATTTTTTTTGGGTCTTTTCGAATTTATTCCAACCCAAACCACCCAGTCCCACTCATCTAGCAGCCATCCCAATGCCAAAAAATTAAAAAAATTAATTGGGCCCGGACTGGGCCTGGCCGGGCCGGTCCACCTTTTTCAAGGACAGTAGCCCACCTGTTTAACCCCCGATTCGGGCTCATCCCCGATCCCAGTTCATAGGGCCGGGTCGCACGTGCACAGTGTCGGGTCCCGGGTCAGGTCAACCCGTTTCCAGTCCATCCCTAATTCATTGCGTAAAATCAAAAGTCTAATATTTGGTAAAAACACCGAATGATAAAGCCGATACCAAGTGAACCTTAATTGGAATAAAATAAAGGTAAGAAAGAGTTTGTACAC